TGGGAGTATATAAAATCCGATATATTAGATTACTCGGATTGGATTCTTTAACTTAAACAGCAACATTAAAAATTACAGTTTGTACATAGGTCTACATTTTATATAATTTTGTGTTGCATTCCTGCAGGTTATTGTTAACATGCAAACATGCAGAAAGTACAGCCACATTTAGAAGAGAAAAAGGAAATAAAATTAAATGAAACATTAACATTTTTGTTATGCTTGATTGGTGCTGATTTTGAGAAACAAAAATTAGCTATTATTTTCATAGGAGATAACCTGAGAAACTCTTATTATCTTAAACATGTGAAGTTATAACTAAGATCTTTATGATAAATAGTGCTCTAAATTAACTATTATTTTCATAGGAGATAACCTGAGAAACTCTTATTATCTTAAACGTGTGAAGTTATAACTAGGATCTTTATGATAATTATTGCTCTCAATTTATGCCTTACATATTTACCCGACTACGAACATAGCTCCATCAATAAGTACATCAGTAAGATGGATTTCCGTCACATGAAGTCAGTCACAGTATATGTAGTAACAGTTCTAGGAAATAAAATAGGTCAAGAGGAAAAGAATGATTTAATGTTCATTTTGAATAATTTTATGATTTTTCAGACGCTTCCTTATTTTTTATCGTTATCCAGCTGAAACCGAATAGGATTAAACCTTAAAAACACAGTAATATACACATTCGTATAGTCTTACTGGGCTCTATACTCTAAGCTGACCAGATTCAAGATTCGATCTTGATACCCTTGAAATTGTTTATAGGTAATACCAAACAATGGAAGCTTGACAAGTCTAATGAAGAAATTTAGCTGGTTATGGGTTATTTGTTTCTTAGAAAATAGCATGCTGAAGTAATTGTAAATTGTACCCGGACGAAGATATTCGTGCTTTTAAACGAAAATTCTGCTTTCCAACCCTGTGTACTATCAACAATCGTTCTCTAAAAGAACACAAACTGACGAATTAGTCGATCCGTTGTTTGCTGAGATTTTCATTGTTATTGACCAAGACATAAAATATTATTTTGCATATTTTATTTGAAGGCAATAATTATCAACATATGATGAAGTATAATAATTAGTTGAAAAAGAGTCATACGAGGTCATCATTCAGATCTACTGACTGCTGGAAGAAGCTTGCATAAAAGTCAGTATTGAAGGCAGCAAATGAGAATCAATACGTTTAGTTCATAAAATATGTTTAATCAATGTAAACACACCTATTAGATTAGCAAAAACATTGTTTATTATTACATTTACAAATGTGATACTTCTTTCACTTTGTTGCATAAAAAAAAATGTTTTCACTTGTAAATATTTAACCACAAAGTAATGCCTAACGTTTCAAAAGTCCTGGATAGTCATCTAACAAGTTAGAAATACTGACTATAACGTTTGAATCTTGCTGAGAGTAATTTTGCAAAATTGGAAAGTTATATTGTTAAAATAGTTCGCATTGTTCTTAACACTATTTATTTATGTTTATCCTTGAACAATCAGGCTGAACATAAAACTGTAACGATGATGATTTTTATAAGAAGGACTTGTCACATTTATGTATATCAACCACGTTAGAAAGAATTATTCTCGACAATAGCAAATGCATCGTTTATAAATTATTACTCCAAGAAATATTAAGCAAACAAGGACTGCTAGCATTAACAGCAATACTTCATAACCATCTCCAAACGTTGATCTTGTTGTCATGTCTTGATGCGTGGTGTAAATTTTCCAGTCTGACTGAGTGCTGACCAAGTTAAAACTTTCATATTTTATGAAATACATTCCTCCTTAGTTTTCTTTGTTACGAATTTATCAAATTTAACGATGAAACTTAACACTTATCTAGAAGTAACCTCCTTTAACATAATATAACCGTTTGATATTTCTGTTGTCGAATTTTGATTTTTTCTCTCCAAAATATGAGATATTCACTGTGAACGAACCAAAGTTTTCTTTCATATCAAGTATCATCCACAAGACTGTTATCACGTTTATTAGAACCTGAGCTTAGTTATTAAAATATGTGCAGGTATTTCTAGTAATATAAATATGTTACATTGCCGGGAATCCTCGCATCGATTATAATACAATCTATCCATTTACATTATTCCTTTTGAACATTCTTTGCAAATGTTTTCAAACATGCTAATAATAATGTTGTTAAATATATTGAAGCCATTGCCCTTTACAAGCGTGTATTCAATACAATCTTACAGGAATCTAGGTCTTTCAGAGTGTTTCTTTTCATATAACTGGCGCTTAATGAGTTCAATTGTGTTAATTTAACAATCATTTTCACGGCCTCGGAATTCGGAGAATGTAATTATCTGGAACCTGTGAAGTAATCGATTCGTTAACATTGACATACTAAATCATGATTGTAATTCTGTAGAAAATAAAAATCTGGAAAAGCCGATAAGCTTCCGTCTAGCAAGTAAAATACCTTTGGTTCTATAGAACAGTTTCACATATACAAGGTATATTATAGCTTTATAGATGAATCAATTATACTGATATATCCACAGATACTTTGTACAACATAAACTTGTTGCTATCAAAGTTGTTTCGAAAAGTATATTTCAATGTCATAGCTACAGTAAAAATAATAAATACCTAAAAATGATATTGCTTTTTAAAATCTGAACTTTATGAAGTTTGAAATTGTCTTGTTAAGCATTAAGAGCTGTACAAAAAGTTGCATTAAAAATAAAAATAAATAAAAACCATGTTATGCTGCATTGTTTTTCAGTTGAATAGTATAGAGATGATTTAGATAGATCCAAAATGACAGGTTATCATAGTCCCAAATTAGTTAAAACGTGACTTTTCTCGAGATAGTTATTTTTTAATAATTGAAAATTCTATTATTTTTATCACATGGCATATTAATTTCTATAGCTCTTTTTGTAAATTGATAAAAACCTCAATATTCACCCTAATCCATTTCGTTGATGCTTTACTTTGTTGTGTTCTGAATATAATAAAATGTGTTGCAACTAAACCTTCTTGGTTTGTTTGTAAACGTTTCCTTGATGTCCTTTTTTAACAATTTCTAAATAATGTTCAATGAATCTTTAAACTTAAGTATCTTAGTATTATGATATTTGTGTATATTTGAGAGCTCGATATATCACAGAGTCTCCTCTTGCCTTTTCCAAAATTGCTTATCACTATTATAAACACGCAGATCGTGAAAATATTTTCCGAATTTTCCAATTACGAAGATGTCCCATCTGAGAATAAAATAATACTCAGTAGATTCAATGAAATGTTCAGAACTAATAGAATAGAAACTGGTTATTCCATATTGATAAGGATCTTCCATATTATATTGACAAAAAGACAGATGCGCGACATTATAGACATTAATTACACCCTATTTGTATTCATGACCATGAAATGAGACAGTTCCAATTATGTCATTTCCGAGACTTCAAGACAACAGTTGTTTTTGTGATAGAGTATCTGCATGCAAGACGAAAAGAGAACAAGAAGAAAGTTTTATTTGGAAAAGAATGACTCTACGCTTCGAATGTGAAAAAGAAAGAGGCTGATTCAAGAAATGTTGTGGAAGAAATTGATCATCCAAGTGCAAATATGGTTCATAATACCGGGAATATAAATTGACAATATCCCTGATATTACCATGTATGTTTATCAATTAATAAAAATACAATGTAATATTAAATTGACATTATAGCCATCTGAGGGTATATAGGAAAGAACAGGTGAAAGTCAATTTTCCCATAACTCCTTTCAATTCGATAATTGACAATACAGTCATCTTTAATGTTACATTGCTTTGTTTTATTGAAAAAAGGTTTTTCATTATGTACTTGAGTTAAAATTCTTTATCATCTTTTGATCCAAATGTTTTGTCCAAATATTTATTATCATGAGGCTGATCTATACACAACATACACAGTAGGTATATCAAACATTTATTTTTTCAACATATTATATAATTTGCTGATTCTCCAATATCACTGCATCATAATAATACGTACAGTCATATGCTATATTTTATTTCATACTAAAACATGTACTAATAATCGTGTTACTATAATCAATCTAGTAAAATCAATACTAAACAACCTCAGCAAGGAAGTGAAATGGCATTATTTAAATTAACAAAGATATTATATAATAAGCATTTAATTTATATAATTCAAATTCAAAACTTGAATTAAACATAATAGTAAAATATTATGCGAGTTCCACTTATGATAAAGACTGATTCACAGAGAGAAAAAACATTTTCGTTAAAGAAAGCTAAAGGTATGTAATTGGTTTCGTAATTCTTAAATGTAGGAATGTGCATGTGTAAGAAATGCTTGTTCTGACAAAAAAATGCTCCAATTAAGTAAAACATATAAAATTCGAGATTGTAATTATATAATTATGAACAACTCAAACGCACAATAATTCAACCAAGAAGGCAAGTTATTACAACGCATAAACGATAAACAAAATATTTTCCAGCTTATTCTGTCAATATTGTTTTATATTTTTTATTATTAAGACTTTAAAGATGTATTTTCATTCTTTAACATCTTCTTTCAAATCATTATTCACAATGCATTTAACTATTCAAATAACGTTCATTGTGAAATGGTTAATATTAACACGCCCTGTTTAAGCATTTAGCCATGTTATATATAGGAAACATGTTTGCACTAAACGCTAGCATGATCAATGTATTTGTAAACCAGGAAAAGACGCACCAAGGTATCTGCTCTCATCATCACAATTATTCATCTCAAACAAAAGGTCCCTATTGTTCGATTGAAACTAATTATTGTCAAGGATATGAGATTGACATGGTAACTCCTTGGTCTATATAGCGACATAATTTTCTCACAGATCGTTGTTTGTGCTATCTCTGTTCTAACTTAAGAATGATCTTAATGCTGTGGAATCATTAAATATTTTGTTAATTCTATCTGTTATCTAAAGGCTTTTGGCTTTCACAATAGCTTTAGAGCCTTTTATGAAACTCGAATCACAATTTCATATTAATTCACTTATCCCCGATAATATTTCAGCATTTATATAAATTAGACGTTTTTTCAATCTCTATCGATACATAACTTTAAAGCTTATTTTTTCCTTTCCTATTATCAAGAAGCGCCTTTTCTTCATAGTTTGCCAAACGTTCTTAGGTTTAATTTTTAGTTTAAAGCTATGCACTTGTTTCAAACTGACGTGATCATTTCACAATCTGAAGCCATTCTTTCATCGTCTTCTTCAGGAGGTCTTTGCGATTTCTTTCTCTGTCTTCTTTTATGATCTCGTCGCCTCCTTGGACGTGGATCGAGAGCTAGATTTTCTAACCTATCCTGGAGGCGGGAAGCATATTTTATATTAAAGCTTTGCAAATAATGCCATGATAAAAAAAAATAAACGCTTGTTAATAGTAATTATATAGATACAACCAACTGTGATTATTTCAAGGACAGATAATAACTAATAAGGCAGATAATCTTGTAGATGAGTAAACACAAATAACTATATATTGGCCTCAAATGTGAATTTTATCTTTCCACTTACTCTTCTCTTACTTTAAAAGATATAACGTCTATATTGTACCATCACACATTCTTCCTTTTGTTAAGAAGCTGCTTAAAAATTCTATTAATTATTTTAAGTTTTACCTGTTAAGTTAACATATATTGATTGGTATTTAATATTATTTCAATAAATTTACCTTTTCTACAAGATGTGTAGATGCGTTAGACTCTACAGACCTGTCTTCAATTTCATCAAAACCATGCGCAGTTAGCGTTCGTTTCTTTTTCTTGCTTTTGAAAATATTTCGCACCTTTAAAAATGTATAAAAATTTATAAATTGAAAAAAAGAGAACTGATAAAACATTTGTTCATTGCGCAGTTATAGTGACGTTGAAACTTAATCTTATACATTTTCCTTCTCTTTTTTAATAATTCTAAGTAAAGAAAAAAGTAGAAAAAATACGTTCAATATTTCAATAAAAGATATTTTTCTTCAGATGTGTTTTTGTACGAAGCCTATAATGAACAGCTTGATGCATAGATTTTATACTTGTAAAATTATGATTACATTATCCAAGGACAAACAATGCATTACCTCTTCATTCAGCAGTAAATAAAAGACAAAGAAGAAAGATCCCTGAAAGAAACGAATGATTAATTATTTAATATTATCAAATATAATTTTTTTTATTACATATCACTACATAATTTTATTACAAGTATCAATCAAATTAGCTGGGCTCGGACGCAATAAGTAAAGAAATGACCATTGCTTATTTGTACGTAATCGTCACGGGCTGATTTGGAATATTTCCAGTTGCCAAAGTTATTGGGGTTTAAGCACTAGATTAATTCTAGACATAGTAGAGATTAAATTTAACCAGGAGTCATTGAATGTTCTAGTTGCAGAGAACATTGCAATGTTAAAGACTTCATCTTCTTTATAAGATTTTATAGCTGTTTTTTTATCTGTCGTAAAAACACGTTTCTCATGTTGGTCATGTAGAAGTTAACACAAGTATAAATTGCTAAAAGTCATTGTTAATTTTTTATTTTCTCGGAATATAGTATACTGTAAAACTATTACAATCGTTTCCTAACTCTTTGGTGTGTTCATTAATGAATTAATAGCTCTGTACATCTTTAATGACTGCAAATCGTCGGACTGAATGAACAAGGCTACGGACTAATTTCAGAAACAAACGTGCTTCAGTTTGACTACCACTCCTAATCAATGACCAAATTCCAATATATTCACTGAACATTATACAAGAATAAAGGCCTTACACTAAAGGCCTATTTACAAGTGTTGACATAAAAAAAACCTGGACGGATATATATGTTTGCCAATAAGAATAAAAAGCAATCATTTTACTTTATAATGACATAGAACAAGTTAGTTTGTGTAACGTTGTTTTTGAAAATATTTAGTCATTCGGAAATGCACGCTGTGTAGAGCATTGTCAATAAAACGAACAGTGACTTTTCGAACTGCAGCATTTTTTGCTACAAATGAACATTAAAATACGAATAAAAGAAATTCTATCGGACTGTTCCATATTTTATCAATGCTTTTATATTTCATCCATAGTAACACATTTATGTCTTGTCATTTAATTATGTTATTGTAGCTTTACGAAGTAGATTAATCAAAACAGGATCATATTTATTGAATCGGCTATGTGAAACAAATCGGCAACGGGGGAAATATCCAAAATCAGCCTGGGACGATTACACACACATCATATTAAGATTGTTGTAAAAGGGAGATCACTCATGAGTTATGATATGAAAATGTTGAAAATCGCCACACTCGTGGTTCATGAAATTATAGAAACTGTAACATTTCTCACACCCTGTCCCTTGCACTGGACTAAGTAATATTCAATGCTAAAACTTCTATGATCAATTATCAAGCAAAATATGGCAGTACTGTGATGAACAATAAAGTCTTTAATGTACTAACTTGTAATTTTACATTATTAGATATATTATCGGTTTTAAAATAAATTACACGAACTCTCACGGGCTTTTCAAGTATAATTATTATTTTTAGCCAGAACTATTTATCACAGGGTAAAAGTCTTAAATATTTTAGCTGTTTTAAAAAAAAATATTTTAGCTTTTTTTAAACACTAGATTCTATATCATGTTTTGGTAAAATTTCAAACCTGCCCCTTTGATACGTCGACAGTATTTAGAAACAAATACCCCACGTATATTTATATAGATATATCTTTCACGTTAGGCATGAAATACAAATCCTACCTGAAGGCAATTAAAGAGTCCAAATATATATTTGACAATTCTATCTGACATTCGCAATGATATAAATGCAAATGACCAAACGACTGTTATAAGTATAATTTGTGTCCATAATGCTTTCATCAGAAGTCTGAAATTTAAAATTAATATATCAAGTAAACTTATGTTTCCAGATATATTGTAAATATAAAATTAGAAACGGGAAAGCTATTTTTGTCCTTTTACAACGTTACAGTATATAATTTAATTAAAATCCTTAGTAAATGTTATTGATAAAATCAATTTTATCGCAAGCAAAGCTACAATATGAAAATTGGCCACATATTTTAAAGTTTTGTAAAACAAAAACAAAATTACCGAATTATATGCAATTTATACAAATTTTATAAAACATAAGACTTACATTATAGATTTGTTACTCTTCTCAGATTTTGTATATGAATTTTCATTATGTTCTTTTGCAGTAAAAATCAAAACCATAATAGATACCTGCAATATACATTAACAGTTAGAAATTAATTTGAGTAAATACCAAATAATTTGAGTAAATACCAGAAAAAAAACAACAAAACAAACCCCCAAAAAACACCAACAACAGATTGTCTTTGCAGAAGAAACACCACCATATCTGATACGTTATTAACATGATCTATCTTATTCACAAAGTATATGCACGATAAGGGGAGTTATTCTTGAAAGTGTTAGTTTTTTTTTAATTTCTGGTCCCTGGCACACATAACAGACTTTTGATACACTTAGATTGTAGCCTTTACTTTAAGTCAGTTAAAGTATCTTAAAAACACAATGTAACTTTCTTATTTCTATCATAGGTGCAAGAAGAAAAGTTAGAATTTCCATCTTTAATATTTAATAAACATATTGTAAAGTACACATACAGCTATAATACCAAGGGCTGGTCCTACAAACAACCATAAGTTTCCCCAAGATATCCAACACCTGTAAAATAATTAAAGATCTTGTCATGTACCACAAAGATTTCCATCCAAAAATCTCAGAAATCATATATATTTGAAATTTTTAACATAGGACTTAAAGTTTTTTTTCTAAAGTATTGCACTTTAAATTTGTCTCTTAAACATGGGTAAAATTCACGTGGGATTAGTAATCGGTCACTTGCTTAGCAACTGATAACTACTAGTTATTTATCCAGAAATATTGACAAGGTTAATCGACCGCCGGGATTTGACTTAAAATGTGTTAAAGTCGGTGTAAAACGAACAAAGAAAATTTTTAATTATAGATAAAAAATCATCTCTCGGTTGAATAACTGATTTCATTATTAAAGCAGACATATCGCTGTATGTTGTAAGTAAGTTCCCGTGTATATCTAATTATAAATAATAAGCATGTTTCCATCTGCAATTTTACTTACATATCTTTGGCATAATAATGCTGACCTTGAGATCCAACAAAAGCACCGACTAAAACAGCAGGTATTACTGAAATAATGTTAAATATTTATACTCAAACGTCTGAAGTTCTTCTGAATTATAATAATGTTATTCCGACATGACAATGTGGATTTACTTCAATTTTAACCCTTACACGATACATATCTTAAATGAAATTTTCCATTTGTCCATCTTAATTTGGACATAACCATCATTATTTGTAGGGAGATTTTCACTCAATATCAAACATTGTAGAATATTATCAGACAACCGCAAGCGTACTAAGTGTTAAAATGAATGTTACAATCTTTAATGATCAGTTGATTGTATCTTTTTAGTACTTAATCAATAAAGAAGAATGTTAATTATCTTTTGCACCGAAGAATTCTTTAAATTCAATTTTATAATAATTTTCACATTATTCCATGCATTGAAAGTAAGCCTATGCATCGTTTTCCACAACAATTGCAAGACTTTGTTATCAATGTTTTATTTCATTTGATTGCACATCAACCAGAAACGGTTACATCTCCTTCATTCAATAGTCTTATATGAAATACTTTCATCATACATATTGCTCAGCACAAACCGAAAGGAATAGTATGATTCATGTACATGTATAACTATATAAAAATGACTTTAGAGTTATAAGACTTGTATACTAGAATAAATGAGCCACGTCATGACAAAACCAACATAGTGGGTTTGCGACGAGCATGGATCCAGACCAGCCTGCGCATCCGCGCAGTCTGATCAGGACTCATGCTGTTCGCTTACAAACCCTATAACAAGTAGTGAAACTGATTGCGAACAGCATGGATCCTGGTCAGACTGCTTGGAGGCGCAGGCTGGTCTGGATCCATGCTGGACGCAAACCCACTATATATATGTTGGTTTTGTCATGACGCGGATGAAATGATGTTGACTTACTCCAGCCTAGGATGTAATATCTGACTAGTGAACCTTCGTTGTGGCCATCATGTGCATGTGACGAGTATGTTATAACAATGTATAAATTAAATGCTTCATTCATTAACCAGGAGAAGTTGGCCAAGAAAAAATAGTGCAAGCATACTGCAAATATTTGGCACACTATCTGCAAACAGAAAAGAGTATAACATTTATTTGGATCATTTTTTTTAAAGATAAACATTCTTAGCATTTCCGATATGCCAGACAATATGAATAAATATGCTGTTCATATTGTAAACTTGTACAAATAAATGCATCTTACTATAACATATAAACTAGAGTAATTTGTAATAGTTAATGTGATGTCTTACACATAAAAAACTGAACTGGTGATACCATAATAACCTTTTAACTGTCGAAATCTTTATTAACTTTTGCCACTAGTATAGAGCAAAGTCAATCTACCCTTTCTTGCAGTCTTACAAAACTCCTTTATATTGGCATTGATATCAAAACCCCTTAAAATTTGAATGACCTATTCCACATACAAAGCTTGACAAATTTATTATACAAACTCAGCAGGTCACGTGATAATGTTATCACAAGCATTTTAAAGCGGATAATTATTTTAACATAAAATTGGGTAATTTACCGTATGGTCATACTGGTCAATGCCAATCATGAAGATAAGTTGTCCACATACAACCGACATACCGAGATTTTTGTGCAGGGATGCTGTGCTTGATGCAGTTCTGTAATATAGAAAAGTTAATATTTTATAATAATACCAATAGTCTTTAATGTCATATATTTATATATATTTTCATGAACACATTTGCAAAAAGAATTTTCGGTTTTAAAATATGTATTTTGGGATGCTGTGCTTGATGTTTATCTAAAATTTAGGAAAAGTTTATATTGATGATAATAAAAATAGTCTTTAATTTCATAGTTTTATCTATATTTTCGGAAGGATTGTTATACATATGCAGCATAATTTTCGGTTTTGACAAATCTTAATAATTTCCACCAACTGATGTAATAATGTAGATAATATACAAACAAATGAGAAATAAATATGTAAAGAAAGATCCATTATATGCACAATTTACTGTACTTAAAACAATATATTATATCAGCTTACTTATAATATACATGAAGTAAACAAGTGGTAAGACACAATGTCGCTGATGCGCAGCAGCCGATATAGGAAGCGAAGTTCATCAATATAGGCCTCACCTCCCCTTTGTTCCACTGAAATATCGCCAAATAACGTGTAATAAGAAATTATTTGACTTTTTTTCACCCGTGGGTATAGTAGCGAAATTGACAAGTATACCGCTAATTATAAGTATTTGTTAATTTAATATTAATTTTATTAACTATTTTTGTTCCTTTACCGTACTGATTTAAAGTTATTAACGTGATTTTTAAGCAACTTTTCGTTGTCTCTATACTGTAAAGGGAGTTAACTTTTTTTTGCTAGTATTCATAGTGCTGTAAAAGTTAATTCCCATTTTACATATAGAAATTATATCGAACATTTTTAATGAACTTCTTACATTCTAAACAAAACAAAAAACATACATTGTCGTTGTACATATCAGTTGTTATGGCAAAAAATCCGGTAACTGAGCACGCGCAAACACCTTCAGTCCCCTTATCCTCCTTCAGCTCACAACCGTCTCGTGTCCAGCGCCACTTCGTTATTCTTCAATAAATGAGCCGCGTCACGACAAAACCAACATAGTGCATTTGCGACCAGCATGGATCCAGACCAGTCTGCGCATCCGCGCAGTCTGATCAGGATCCATGCTGTTCGCTATCAGTTTCTCTACTTGTTATAGGGTCTGTAAGCGAACAGCATGGATCCTGATCAGACTGCTCGGAGGCGCAGGCTTGTCTGGACCCATGCTGGTTGGAAACCTATTATGTTGGTTTTGTCGTGACGCGGCTCAATACATAATAATTGTAAGATTGCAATAAAACAACATCAATCAAGGTTGATTTCCATATGTTGTAGACAGTTAAAATCTTGCCAAGGCATGTAACAAAGCAAATCTTTCCTAGACACTCTGCCCAACCAATATGTGAAAAAGCAATATACCGCTCAATAAATACATCTCCATTCTTAAATAATGAAAAGTGTTGGTAGAAGTAGGATGTATCGTTGGGTTCTTTCCTAACTTATATTATAATACTATGTTGTTACCGCAACATTAAGATAATAATGACTGTAATATACAATATTCACGCTGAACGACATGCATTCGCTTCTCTGGACGGCTTGCCTGTTTTTTTATTGAACAAAAATCTATTTTAACGGACAAATTTATTTTACCCATTCATTACCTTAATTCGAGTAAAATGTGATAAATTAATAACTGCATTAATATGTAACTGTTAAATTTATTGTTGTAAATTGTAATAGAAGGGATGTAAAACTTGGTAAATAGCTACGAATAACATACTTTCCAGCAAATGTTGTCCCGTGTTCGAGCCGTACACACTCTGGGTTAGATATGTTAAATGTCTGAAATAAACAAGCTTATTGTAATAGTACAATGTAGAAAAGTGAAAAAACTATATTTTACTGTATCATAATGAGTTATTATACTAATATAGCAAATAAAAACGTATGATTGTCTAAGAAATAACCAAGGGCATATTGATTAATATGATTGAAATATAAAGTAAAGTTATTGATCGTAAGACTCTACATACAAAGAAAAAAGAATATATATAATATATAATATTGACTACTTTATGAATTTAATCTATTACCGTAGGAAATGTGCTATGATGTAACTGGTGAAAAGCGATGGCCATTTGGTAATAAGTGATGTTTAATGATATATATATTATTTTACTTCAAAAATCGAATTGACCATAACCATGGATAGTAAAACAAGGGAAGATAATACAAAACATTCTCATGAAATGATAAGTCTAAGAGTTGTTTCTCTTTTCTGTTTATAGATGACATTGCTGCTTATTATCAGCTTTTGTTTTTCTATTTTGGTTTAACACAGTCATGATTTTAACTTGTTGCACTTACTACTGTTAAGATACCGAAACAGTAAAGCGTGAATGGTTTTGACATCGTATTTACTACTATATTGTGCTGTATGTAAATAAACATAATGAAAAGTAGGACGTCTGCGGTCTAAGAGCAGATAAGAGCATATTCCAAAAGCAAGGTTAACAAATGGTAAAATATGTATATAAATAAACGTTTACTTACATTCAGATATGGCAGGGTAAATTCCAAGGGCGAGGTAAGATTGCTAGAAATATCAAGATGTCCGGTGTGCAAAAACATTGCTATTATAGGCGTGTTCAGATTATCTTCCTTTGCCTTCTTACCAGTACTTGAAAAGATAAAAAAAACGTTTCATGCAATAACCAGTCAGGCTGGACTGTTCAGTTTGTTTTGAAATTTAAAGTTACTTCTTACTGTATCACTGAAAGAGATGCTAATTGGGAAAATAAATTTGAATATGTCTGTTTGGAATATCTTACATAATGGACATTATCAATTCAGCATTTATAGCATTTATAAAAATTACCACAAGTCATTTTGTGTCCACCTCTATCAGTTTTAAGATAATAATTTTGAGGAATACTTTTAGCATTAAATCCTTAAAACATGTTGATTTCATATACATTGTATTGTAATATAGAATGATCATGGCGTCGATAGAGATTATCTTATATATACTTACGCTCGTAAGTCATGATTTGGTAGCATAGCTGTCATCCCAAATACTCTTAAACCTGCAGTCTTTACAAATGCTGTCGGAAACATAAAATACAAATACTTTATATACAAACAATTTATATACAAACATTTTTTCTTCCAAACATAAGTACAATATATAAAGCAACGGTTTGATAACCAAAGATAAACATGGACCATTGGTTCGATACGTTTTGGTATGTTTCGGAGCTTTTTGGAACCTAATATATGAATCAAGCGTCTGTAAGACCAGGAAACAGCAAACACCACGTGCACATCCTTCTTATACATTTCCCACGGAAAGTGGCGGAGTTTGCCGAATTCAAACGAATTTCTGTTGATAAATTCTTACACAAATTTTCCAAAGTATCCGTAAATGATCAATGATCAATGAAAAAAAAAATATTTATAAATTCGTTGTAAATATTTCTGACAGGTTATATTGCCGAAGATAAACGGCCTAGCGGCTCGGGTCATATTTCCAAACAACCGTTTATATAAAACCATTTATTACATGCTTTTCGGTGGTTTATAGAAATATATCAGTGACATAAAACTGGTAATTTCACTGTTTGAAACAGTGAAATTACCACTTTGATAATTTCACTGTTTTGAATTTAAGCCCCTTACGTTGTTTCAGTGAAATACCAGCGTGCACAGTACTGGGTACCAACTTAATGACGTGACGTCGTAAATGATGTCACGTTGTATTATTATTTGGCGCGCTTTTCGTTCAGTATTAGGTGAAAACGTTTCTTTGCATGTAATAAAAAGAAAATTTGTTTAGTTTAGTGTAAGATCGAAATATATTTCACCTTGTGAACACCAAAAGTTCATATTTCACTCGTGGCTGCGCCACTCGTGAAATATACCTTTTGGTGCTCACTCGGTGAAATATATTCCAATCGTACACTGAACTAAACAAATATCCTCTATATAACCTGTCAAAAATCATTATAACTAATGATATAAACGTCAATGTTTTCTGAAGAAGACATAATGGCGAAAGCTTAGAAAAGCATTTGTTTTTATTGAACTAATATTAAATGATCAATACAATCTCCTGTTTTAATTAAGCGGATACATTTAATAGTTTGGATAAAGAAACTGTCGGATATGACTTTAAAAGCTAATGAGGAACTCATTCAATTACTTCCGATTAACGTTTAGCATGTTAACAATCATATATGAGATAACTGTGTACATATAATAGCAGGATAGAGTGAGCAAGTATTAAAAGTAAATCAACCCCTAATTGCAAGGGAATATATATCCCTTGTCAGTACTGGAAAAAGTTAATGTATCAAATTATATAACTCTATAATATTTTAGATCTCTTCTTTGACCGCTTATTTGAATTACAATTTATTCTACAACAAACATGTTTTCTTTTATTTCTTTCACTTATCTTTCAATTCAAATTGAACAGATGAGGTTCATATAGGGAGGTATGCCTTGTTCAGTTAACAAATTGTTGATCATAATACGTACACGGCCATTCTGATTCATTTGTTGCTAACAAAAGTGTAGATGGCATTTCCACGTTTCCATTTTTCAACTGGATCCCGGCAGCGCGGTCTCTTTCAGAAGGAAATTTTGAACCTTTGAATGTCTGAACCCATTGCACTTGTGCGCTTACCTCTAAAATACAAGGAATTGTAAAGACTTATGATACACAAAGAGCGGTTTTATTTTCTGTTTACATTTTTATAAATCGACCCATAGTTTAATTCATGAAATAATTGACATTTTTATCCAACGAGTAGAAAACGACCGTGAGCCTTTTTTAAAACTACCCAATGTCCCACACGCTTATATAATGTACATTTTTTTTGAATTACTACTTGCTAATTGTTAGCAATAATATTGGGCTAAGGATCAATTTAACTAACAAGAGTCAAATGCAACCCAATGATAAATGATTGTATACATCAAAATTAAAGCATACCTATTTTCGGACGGACTGTGTTTAAATAAGCGTCCTCATAACCTATTGTGCCACCTATATGTCCGTCAACCACGTGATTTTGTAAACTACGGGACATCACGTGGGCAAAAGTCTCTAGTACTTTCAATAGATTGTCACCTTCTGTCCCCGGAGGTTGTGTCGCATTCCAACCATAACCATGCTTCTCACTTAACAGATTGTCAACAATATTTGCCACTTTCTGTTAATGAAAAATTATCGTTTTATATTATGATTTGATTATCAAACTTTGCAAAACTACAATGATTTTTCCTTATTTTTTATCTTATTTTGAATTTCTTTAAACATTTTTGGGGATTATGGTAAGGTGAACTTTTACAATTGGTGTTAGGTAATATTTTTTAAACAATTAACGGTGCTATCAAAGACTTCATTTTGCTAACAATACATTGCAATATGCTTTAACTGAAATGTTTTAATAAGGAACTTATTACCAATATTTATGTTTTGCCAAAAACAATAAGGTCAGTTACTGGTAATGACGTCATTTAAACATTACTATGTTCTGAACTATGGTACATCGCAAGTATTACACCATAGTATTAGTTATCAAAACACAATAATAAAATACTAGCATCTATGAATTCCTTTGTTTCGTCTAAAGTAGGAAATCTCCCAAGTGCTCTGGCATAAGTTTGATTTCCGTCTGTCCATTGGTTTACTTGTAACACTATCACATTAGCCTGAGTGTTGACCAGCATGGCCAGTAAGTCAATCACCGTGGCGACATCGACAGGGTTACCATACGCATTAGATTTAGTGTGGGTGACAAGACCCTCTCCAAGATCTAACAACATTCTCTGGTCTATATAATCGGCTAGTAAATGTTTCTGGAACTGAACAAGATGACTTTGTTTTAACCATTTTAGACAATATAATACTGGTTCAATATACTAGTATGTATTAAAGAATTTTATAAACAAAGCGTGAAACTGTGTAATATAATTTATACTTTTAAAGCACTTGTATATATTCAATTACTCTTATATATGTTTTATAATGTTGTGGCGTTTTTAAACGTACTTTATATTTCAGTTTTCTAAGGTCAGTTGAGATGCAGTTATCAATGTTAGCTTTACCCCATTCACCTTCATTCTCGTCTGTTACAAAACATGGTCTTGTCCCTATTGCTGTAATGAAGCAGATGACAATGATAATAATAAATTGATTTTGAATGACTGTTAAAATTAGTTTGTTTTCTTTTATTAATTGGAGTAAGTACTAGCTAATGAACATATGATTGCAGATGAAATAATGAACATTGCGCACAGAAAAGCTTTAATTATGTATATCAGTATAGTCATGTAGTTATCACCTTGATTGTTCATTATAAAATGATTGAGATAAGGGTTAAAATACATAAATATTTTGAACGAGACTTTAATTGGCGAATATCAGATTTGTTTAAACCATCTGATAAAATGGTGGACTCTTCTGTGTGGAAGACCTGGGGAAGTAATATGCCACAGGTTAAGCTGGATAATTATAATATGGCCTTTCAAAAAATCGAGCAAGGACAATTCCAAAGATAGAAGCTGCACAAATCCATTGCAAAAATGCAAAATGTTATAATACCATCGTAGTCTTCAGCAAAATTTAAAACAAAACAACAAAACCAATCCAGAAAGAATATATATACCGGTAGAGTTCACATCAATATCTTTACTAAGTACATCTTTAGGACACTGTACCGATATTGTGTTCTTTGCCGGTGTTCTTGTCCATCTGATGTTCTCCACTATTTGTTCATTACACTGAGCACCTGAACAATTAAAAAGAACATGTGTGTCATTTAGAAATGAAATGAGTGAATGACATTTTCAAAATTAATATCATGTTATGTTGTTACTTTTTTCAAAAGCAACGTTCGATTGTAAGGTAAGAAAGTTTTAGTGTTTTTTACGAAGAAAGGGATATCACGACGACCTTACAGCGACCATGGTGTTGCTTATGAGATTCAATGGCGACCTTTTCGTTTATACGGAGTTTTTGTTGATGATCTTGTACTCTCTCACATCACTAGCTTCCACAGCATGCAAAGTGCTGTATCTGCTTCTGAAAGACGTTCATTTGTTGTTATTTAAAACGCGAAAGTAGCGCAGTGGTATCTTTGAGAAGGCCATTCATTCTCCTTGCAATGCCACTGACAACCAAAGAGTGCGCAGCTGCGGAGATCCTGTGGAGTTGTGGAAGACCATACCACGCTACTAAGGCATTAAAAGGGATCTTACTGTGCAGCTATGGCAACCACATTGCACCTTAAACAGCTTTACCTAAACCACTTTGTCACAAGGCCACATGCCACCAATAGAGAATGAGTGTTTGTCAGTGCCATCTGATCATGGTCTGCATTTAAGCTTTTCAGTCACTACTTGTTTTAAAAATTACACAAAATGAATGCTTTACTTAATATCTAAAGACTGATAAAAAATTAATTTGGCTGAATTACCAGTTATTCTTCGTTTTTTCAAAAGTGATCTATCAGAAACGCAAATCATTAGTCAGTGTTCCATAATTGTGTGGCGGTGTCGTAAATGCAAATGTTACTTCCCGGAAAGTAATAAAAAGTAAATGGTATTAATACATAACCTTAACAAAATGTAATTATACAGTAACCTACCAATTGTATCACTACAATGTTTATTACAGGTTATACCAATCTCATCCTCTGTAAAACAATCTACAGGTTCTAAAATGTAAGATGATAAGATTAGTTAGAAATAAGAAAAATTGTTAAGGCGAATTTGCAAATTTAAGATTCTTACAAAAACGGAGTATTTGATTATGGAAGCACGCTCACAAATTACTTCAAATTACTTCTCTGCAGCACTAAAATTTCACTTTTATTTCTTTTATAATATCCAAGAGGGAACTTACGCGTACGTTTGTTTGTTAATTAATGTCTGAAACAGGCAATGCATTTCTGTATTCAATACTATCTGTTAACGTTCTTAATTTTAAAATGTTCTTTTTTTCTTGCAAGTACTTGCAAAAATGCAATTAATGTTCTATAAAAAGCAAAACAATGCATTGACCTCATAACTACTTTTGAGAACTATGGTTACAACTAGTACAATGTGACTAATAAAACATTTCATACTAACAGAATAATTATACCGCCAGCTACTAACAGGTCAGATACACGATGAAGCAAAGTCAATATTTACTGACACAAATGATAAATCAAGGAAAAACATTACACATATACTGTTAATTCGTACTCACTCAGCACACCCGATGGCCATCGCATCCGCATTGCTCCGCGGGTACCCCGGCGGAATTCCGTCCACTGAACGGCATCCCCGCAGAACATTAGCCCACATGAATGTCCGATGTGATGTATTTCCCCTTTTGTCAACAGAAAACTCCAAATATGAAGATGGGTCAGATCTCCAACAAAAGCTTTTTCTAAGTCATATCCCTTTTCACCTCTTGGTGCCTGCCCGAGGACAAAATCACCACCGAAAGGAATTTCCTTGCCCTTAGAACCTGTACCTGATGACTCGGACATTTTTTCTTTTCCATTTAGATATAATGTCCAACTTCCATCTGTGAAATATTATAAATAGATGGCGTATCATCAAACATAAACAAATGATTCCGCCGATAAGAACATATAAAAGTTAAGTAGATTGCGGACAATGTATATTCAAACATAGTAATGTTAAATTAAATATGTATGTTTAAAACACGAAATCTCAAATGATTGTTTGTTTTAATAACAACGATTTAGAGGTTACAAGTTTCAGAAATTTCAAAACTGACGACAATAAATGTTTAATCTAATGAATCGGGCCATGTACATTCAAAGGTTATTGTGGAAAAATCATCACATGAAATGTTATCTGTCCAGATTTACTTTTTACACGTAATCACTTCACTTGATAATATTCTATATTTTCATAATAAAGTTTAGAATTTGTTCTTTAATTGCTTTGTTTAATTTCCGTAATTTGAAAATATGATTCATAAAAAGCAATAAAAATATTAATCCTCCTTGTTCAAATTATGTTTTTATGTTTGAGAACGCAATATATAATGGAAGATATGACTGTACAAATTTATAACATACGAAGAAGAAAATAATAATTATTCCGAAGTAAACATGTTTAGCCACATCCAAAAATAGTTCTGTTTTTAAATATTATTTTTGAATAGTGAAATTACATACCAGGCACAATAGGTTGATAATGGAATTTACCTTTTGAAGTCCAAGACAGTGCTATGTGCCACCATTTATTTGGGGCAAATGCTAGCCCTGTCCTTATTTCTTGATCCCAAATACGAAAAGTCAAGGCCGGACCACTGCGCATTATGAACACTTGACCATAAGAATCATGCTTATATGACATTATAGTGCCAGGATGTGAGGAATCTGGGACCTGAAATTAGCAAGCATTTCCATATTGTCTTTCTTTTAGTGTCATTGGGATTCAGCCAACACACTTATGATAGTTTTTGCGTCACATGCGAATAATTTAATTGTTTCCTTTGCAGATTCTGTATAGCAAATAATACACGGTATATTGCAAATTATTACTTTTGAATCACTTGCCAATGTTATTCTTCCCTGTCTAATTATGCGTAGCACTTAACTGTGGAATAATAACCCAAGTTTGACACGCAACATTTCTTTTTTTCTCCATATTTTTTTCAGTTTACTAATTCTTTAATAATTACTTTATTCTTTATATCATATTTTGTGTATCCAACAAACTACGTCAAATATACAAACACAATTTAGCCAGTCAGTCGACAATAAGACAGCAGCATTAAGGAGTTAATTACATAAGGTTATCCTTTACAACAAAGGAAAATATCCCCTATAACTGGTTTTCCTTTCCATTTCTGTATGGAATTTGTGTAGAGATGTTTTCTCATCAACAATCAGCCATGCAATGACTGCAATCTAATTGTAAAATACGGTGCTCTATTTCGTCTGAAAAACCTAATGTCACTAGCTGATGTTTTTGTTCATTTCTGCCGAAATCTTAGACAAAATTCATTCTCTTCACTCTGGTAGATCAAGATTATAAAATTTTATGAATCTTTCCATATGCCGCGCTAATGTAAGATTATTATATAAATATAACACTATATTTGTTAAAGAAACCAACAAAGCGGATTTCTATTGATAATTAATAGTTACTTGTCTACTAAATGTTATTGGTATAAAATGAAAATAAGTACCTTTATCCAGAAGGAAACTGTCAATTCATTTAGACTAGGAAAGGCTTTACCCATCAACAATGTATAACGTACTGGGGATTGCTGGGAAAATTCAAGTCGTGAATCTATGGCTGTAGCTGGAACACACAGTATGTATATAATGAACGTTTAAATGTAATATTTTATGGACTCAAACAAGAATAAACAAAGCCAATATATAAGTAAACTTATTATTATAGGAAAAAATTATCATAAACAACGAATCTGGTTTCCAACGCATTGGCTATAAAACAATAGTATATTATTTGAATCTTTAAGAGGAACACTTAACGAACTTTCTACAAATTTATAGAATTGTGCTACATTTTTTTTTAGCAAAAATAAACCACACCCAAAATAATGCTTACACATGCACGTGACAGTATTCCAGTGGAAGCCAGGACCGCAGTCACAGCCATATCCGGTTGGGTGATCTATACAGGTGGGTGGGGTGTAAGTGATTACGTTTTTACATGACTCCGATAACTGTGTCCTTACTCGTACTAAAAGAAATATAAAAAACACTTTCTATCATGAATAAAGAATTTAATTATCTGCTCAATGATTACATGTGAATAGAATTCATTGCTGTGGAATTAATTTCTTTGAGAATCCTTTAACTCAATGAAATTAGAGATTCAAGTATCAGAAAAGTTGTTTCTATATTATTAGATTAAAATTGTAGATGAAAACATTTACAGATCTCAAATCATGATTTTATCTTACTGTTTTAATGTTTGAACTTTTTATTACACCACTTTAGGACATCTAAAATTACTCCTCTAAGAAGAAAATTAGATATTCTTTGAAATTACTTAAATTTCTGGCTTAAAAGAAATAATCAATAACAAGGCCAATCGTCATGTAAAAGAAAGAAATTTGGCAGAAACTTGACATAAAGTTTGACATTAATTTTACCTTCTGCTAAAGTAAGCTTTGTTTTAGATGCCATTCCTTCCCGGGTGTATAAATGCATGATAACAAGAAAACTCCATGCTAAATTTCCTATTACAGACGTCATCGTTCATAGAGTCGTCATTGACTTTAACTAATGTCGCTGCCCCTCAGTTATCAAACATAGTGACTACACATGTCCTTTCCTGAAGAAAATAACAGCAAAATATAGACAGGCATAAAATAACAGTACTTTTTGTACATTAAGAAAAAATATTGGCATGCGTGTGAGCAGTAGACGAAAATCAACTGAAATTCGGTCTATAGAACTAAATTTTAGAAAACACCTTTTTTTTTAATTTAGGCAAAATTCCGATGTTGATTAACAATTTCTGATGTTTTAAACTCTCATTAGACATAACAATATATTGTTGTCGTTTAAAGAATATTAGAAATTTTCCGCTACCAAACATGCATTAAGGAGGTTTGTATGGTGGCTGATTTCTGCCATTTCGCGTCTTCATGTCTCGATTATATGCTCATTTATGATTTCTTCGCCTTCGGCTTTTGAGGGGCGAAGATACGAAGACACGAAATGACAGAAATCAGACAACATAGGTTTTCGCTTTTTCTCTGTATGATAAAATTCCGCTTCGGCTCTTTCTGACATCAAGGAGATGCTTAAAGGGACTCCACTGAGGTTTTTTGACATGATGGGACTGAAAATATTTTTTTCCAGATAAATGTAAGATTTAATGTAGGGTTAGACCACTAATCTTTGTGCAAAATTTCAGATCATTCGCACTCTTCGTTTTTCTAAAATAAGTATTCAAATTGTAACAAAATGACCCAAAATGAAAAGCGTTTAAACACTGTTCACTCAAAACGGGTTAAGAAAAGCATAAAAATACGATTTTCAATTCATTTCAAAGTATATTTCTGAACTATATTAGCATATATTTCTGTTTAAAGTTGTTCCCCAGCTCATTTATGTAAGAATTCTAATGTTATATTTTTAGGGTTTTAAACCTCAGTGGAGTCCCTTTATTATTTTTAATGGAGCATATGTGATGATTCACTTGTTTAATAAATCATCGTTGTGATATCATACAATCAAATATATAAAATTGTAGTTAAGCAATATTTAACAGACTTTATACATTGCAACTCAAGAAGAAAATAAATTTCAATATGCAAATCCACCATTATCTGTCTTTTCATTTTGTTTCGTCAAAAATATCGAACAAACAAAACATGATGATATTGAATTATGATAGTGTATCTAAATATTTGTTCACAGTGTTAATTTGAGTAGAACATTTGTTGTAAAATTCTTTTATATTTACAAATATGTCAAATAATCTATACATCTAAATGTCGCATTAATAATTCATAACACCGAATGAATACAATGTTTTCTTTAATTTGCATGATTCCAGAATATATTTGCATTACCGTAAAATTGAAAACAGACCACTTTTAAGAAACTACGGAAGCGAATAAGTACCACATTGACACTTATTATCTATATATAGATTTGGGGCTGAACATTTGGTTTAAGATTTTTTAATCACTTTAAATGAGTTTTAATACTAGGTTAAATTGTTGGCACACTGTTACTGAAAACCGAACAGTTTGGGAATTTTAATGTTTATGCTGGCGTATATATAGCAAAGATTTGTCAATTTATTATTATGATTAAGTAACATCAAGTATTAAGTTTATGTTTGATAAAACAATAAATAGTTACTTATGTTTACAATTGTGAAATCATTGTGTTAATTTCATTGCCAAATAAATGTTTCGTAGTAATAAGTCTGAACGCTTAGCGGTAACAAACTCTACCAAGATCAGCTGGAACATCCGAACTTGTCGTCTGATCGGGGTCTGCACTGTTTGCCTCTTATTCATTCAGTACATATTTTGAAAGTTTCCCTAAAATGATGAATGGTTTTGTCCAGGTTAAAAGAGGGATACGTCCATTTAAGATATTTCGCAAGGTAAGGGTTGTTTGACAATTCGATTAAGAGTCTGTAAACACCCAGTATTATAAATTATTCATGACGTGAAACACCCATTTATTATCATTACTAATATAAACCACTAGTACAAATAGATTATATCAATTGATATAATTGTTATAACAATAATGAGCTCAAGAAGGTAACAGTACACTTAATTCAATAATCAATTCTAAAGCGGCGCGCTTCAAGATATCAAGTAAAATAAAATATCAAACTAAACAAAAAAATACAGTTAAAGAAATAAAAAGATAGTTTTTTAACAAATGTAGAATGTTCATAATCTACGTAAACTTTATAACAAAGCGATAAAGCATGTAGTTTGGCATTATTTACTATTGTTAACCGTTACTCACAAAGGAAGTGTTTGTTTTCTTTTTCTTTTTCTTTTCTTTTTCATTTTGTTTAAAAGTATATACATGTATGTACTTAATGTGGATCCTAAGAGCCTTAGTGAGATAAAATCACATAATTTGTGCACTTGACTATATTTTTTTTATTCAAATGTGGAATTTTAAAGTTTACATAAAAAATAAAATACAGATCAAGATTCGTGTTGCTTTAGCTCTGACGCCAACAACACACACCAAACATTCAAATTGATATACAGTAGATATATCAGTAATACACGTAAGTAATTCAATTTATTAGATATAGGAATCTTCCTGCACTGTTTCAACAGAAGACAGATCATTAATTTTGAAGCCATTTTCACAATAAAATTGCGATTGGTCAATAGCCACAAAATATACATTACTAGTTATGAAGATGTCTGTCATGTTATGTGACTCAGTTACCGGTTGTAAGCATAAAAATATTACAAACAACTGTTTTCATACGGACATATAACATAAAAGAAATCAAAATTACTTTATTCGAAGAAAAACGGAAATTGCTTCATAAATTTCCGGCAAACGTGTATATAGGTTATATAAACGTCACGATTATCTAATTAAAACCGGCGTTACAAACGTGCAGTATTAAAAAAGCATTATACCTCCTGATATAATGTTTATTATAGCATAAAATCGGCTATTTCCCCCTCTTTTGCCCATGTTATAACGGGGCCAAAACCATGCGTTAACATCACGCGCTCTTGTTATAGCCCTGTTAGGCCACATGTGTCACAAATCACATTCGTCACAAGTTTTTATGAATTTGTGACGAATGTGATCACATTCGTCACAAATGACTTTTGTGACGAATGTGATTGACCAAAATCGGGTTAAAAATGCCAATCACAAACGTCACAAGCAAAAATTGAGAATTTTTAAAACAGGCGAATCACAAATGTCACAAGTTTATTTTTCAATATGTGACAGAAAAAACCTATATAAGGAGCGAGTGAAGCTGTTTTAGTATTCATTCTATTTTTACGATGTTCCGTTTCAAACAAAAGTATTTTAGTTCGACTTTTCCAAGAAAAGGAGAGCTTACCTACTCATTGTCGTTAATATAAGCTAAACGGAATGTTCAGATTTATTTTCGTTTCACTTGTTTCTCCACAACTGAAGCTGTTCACTTAAAAACTTCACATATGTGTATGAGGTGAACGTGAAAGGTCACATCCCAAGTTCCATAACTCTGTCATGTATTTTGACTGAATAGTGTCTCTTTTTCGACTTAGAAAGTCAGTGTTTAGTTTTTGCGTGTAACTTTTATCTCTACAACAACAGAAGATATTGACTTGAAGTCACACACCAAGATTCATAATCTTCCATTTGACTGAATTATTTCCCTTGTTCTGCGTTTAGTTTTTCTTGTAACTAGTACAACCACAAAAGATATTAACACATGTGTTCGGGATGAAAATGTTAGCTAACATACCAATACCCATAAACATTACCCAATTTTTCCAATTATTAACCTCTGTGTTGAGTTTTTTCTGTAACTAGTATCTAAAGATATTCACATGAAACTCGGTATTATGTGTCTCGTATTTGGATGTTATAACACGAAAAAACATGCGTTATCCCTATATTGAAAATGAAAAGCAAAAACATAAATTAGCAATAAAAAGGTTATAAGAACAGGTCTGGTGTGCCTAAATGCGATTTATCACATGTTTGACGTCGCGGGAGTGTAATAAAGCCATTACATATTTTCCATATTACTTAGAGGTTATTATACCGGGCAAGTGTGCCTGAAGGAAGATATCGGCACACTTGGTTAGGTATTGGCCCGAGGGCTTTAGCCCGAGGGCCAATGCGGACCAAGTGTGCCGATATCTTCCTTCAGGCACACTTGCCCTGTATCATAACCTTTTTATTGCATATGTAGACACTCAATTATGTTATTCTTCTAAACAAAAGTTTAATGTTTTATCTCCATACTGTTTTCTAACAAATCGTGTCTATTTTCTTCACATTTTCCGTTCGCCACAAACATTTGTATTTTAAATATCTGCTCATTAAATTTCTATAAAATCATATAAAAATGTGCAGAAATTTAATCTTTTATCTATCCTGTTGCGTGTTATGCTGATAAGTTAACTATAAGTTATATCTTGAGCGCTCCAACGTCAAAACTTGTTTACGTCAACCGGACGTGACGTCATGATATGGATTTTTGGCACACTAGCAAGTGTGCCGATATCTGGCACACTTGCTCAATGCATGCTTATATCGGCACTCTTTTGGGCAATATCAGCACACTTCCTTAGCATTTTTGTTACTATTTATAGTAACAAATGCAATAAACTAGTATAATATCGTTTTGACGTCGACGTCATTTAACGTTAGCGGACGTCGCTTGATTTTACCGCGTTTTATAAGGCAAAATAACAACAATTTTTCGGTTTATCGGCTCCAAAATTTAACCTGTGATATGAATAAAATAATAAAATGCTCGGCAGAGCCTCGCAATTTATTATTTTATCCAACTCGTTTAATAAATTCAATATGAAAAGACACTCATGTAATATCCTCTATATTGGCCTACGAGACCGCTAAAGCCCTCGGGCCAATACCTCTTCTTGGCCAATATTGCATTCAGACACACTAGACCTGTGTAATAACCTATAAATACGCAACGGCAAACACTATAAATAGAAAAAAAATGTGAATTTAAACGTATATGAGTTTTGTCCATGTAATATGACTGTGGTCAGGTGACGTGATGCGCCAAATATCGATATCGGTCCGACTTCCGGTTGGGCCGATATCGATTTCCCACTTCGGGTTGCT